AAACGAAAAAATGTATTCTTAATTCGTGGCCATAATGTAGTCCTAGCATAAAAGAGAACTAGCCTATTCTAAATTCGTGGCTGTGATTTTGTCTGGATGTCATGATTGGGGCTCCGTACAACCGAATATAACCTTAGCCTACCTGTTTATTCATTTATTATGGTATGTAACTAGCTCACCTTTTGCGGCACCATGTTTGTGTAGCACATCCTCGTGCTTTCTGGCAATGTGCCGCTTCAGATTCCAATATGAATCTTTACTAACTTTAACAGTCTCCCCGCACTCCCTCTCAGTTTCTTCTCCCTGCTCATTCTTAACTTTGATTTTTACTTTACATTTATGTATAAGGCTTGCAACTTCGTTGAAACGATATCTGAACTCCATAACTGCTCTACTATTCTCGATCTCTACAGATTCTCGATCTCGAACAAGCAAATCACCAAAGGGCATTCTGGGTTGAGCGAGCGGCGCTGAGCGTATTGAGCGAGCGGAGCGGAATCTTCAGAAAGGCGCTCTGCGCTCTTAAGGAAATATTACCTCCCCGCTCCGCTCACATGCTCTGTTACCAACACCAAACTTTTGAAAGAGTTTGTTTAACATCTTTTCCTTTCAGAATTGTATTGCCACACATGAATGTAATGGCATTGACATCATCATAGCTCTCATCCTCAATGACATCAACCCTCTCGGAAAAAAGAGGATGGACTTGGTCCTGGAGCTCAAGGTGTGAGAACACTTCCACAGCATTATGGGATATGTCGTTTTCACTTCAGTCCAAAATAATTGACGTGAACCATCTTTTTGTTGCAGAATAACGCCTCAAAACTGCTACTTGCCATCATGGAAAGCCGCCACGACAGTGAGAATGCGGAGCGAATCCTGTATAACATGAGGCCTAAAGAACTGGTGAATGGCTCTTTGCATTGAAAACACATCTTTCTCCGGTTCCAGCTGGCAGATTTTCTGTTTTGCATTTGGTGACAAACCATCTACTGTCATTATTTAAATGTTTGGTTGGTGTACAGGTGGAGGTGATCAAAAAGGCCTACATGCAGGGAGAGATTGAGGTAGAACACAACGATGATGATGAGCACGGTGAGGAAGAGCACGCCGCTTCTCCACGAAATGTGGGTCACAACATCTACATCCTGGCCCATCAGGTGACGCACACAAATATGCACTTACACACACTTTCACTGCGTTCACTGTGTCAGATGTCAGGATTATATCACGTCTTCCCCTCCCCTGTGCGCTTCAGTATAGATTTTCAGCCTATTCACATAATTATCTGGGTCATCGTCGGCGGATCAGTTATTTAACCATGTTAGGAATGGAGCAGCTTTTTCACCGGCCCTCCAAATGACACTGTTTGGAATCAGAAGTTGGTGAATAAAAAGACCAGGGAACATAACCTATATTAGACAGGGCCCTTTGATTTATTTTTACCCAAATAATAGAGAAATATGCTTTTACAGGTTGAGGCTCAGTTCATCTGTGGTGGCTACACTGGCCGTGTTTTTTTAAACAGAGTTTATTGGTTCACTGCTGGGCTTTGACCCTCAGTTCTTATTGTAATTGGGTCATTATGAGAATTTTGAATGTTTTTTTTAGCTGTTTTTTTAAGAAGGAGATCAATAGCCAGATTTACTAACAGCTTGTGCCAGCACAAAATGTCTTTTGGTGTTAAACTAGTACTGTCAGGATTTTCTAAAGACGCTTAGTGAAGAATTAGCACTGAAAAGGCATGGATGCTGTTATTTTTGCGCCTGACTTTATTGAATATGCATTTGTTGGAGTTTCCCTTTCAGATGCAAAATTTATGGGAGGAGAGTATTAAAATGAATTGCGCAACGTGGTTTACGCTTGCACTCGTCAGATTACTGGTATTTGCCCCATTATTTAACGCTCCACTTGCGCATTGTCAGTAAATCACCCACAGAAATTTCCACTCCCATTAGCGTTTTTTTGGAATTGCGCTCTCACGCTAATTTGCCCTGTTTAGTAAATCTGGCCCCAACTTTAGGTAAATAATGTTAAAAATGTAATAAAACACTTTTATAAAATACATAATACATTTTTACATCATTTTTACATAATACATCATATTCCGAAACATTCATAGATTAGGTATGTTATTATTTTACAGTAACCTACGTTGGGCAGGTATGAGTTCAGGTTTGCGCTCTTCATTTCTCAGACAGGCGTTGGCTTTTCGCTGATGGTAAAGTGTGTTATGAGCAAAACAGCAAGGCCATACAGGTGATTACATATAAGGGGGAAGTCGTGGCCTAATGGTTAGAGAGTCGGACTCGTAACCCAAAGGTTGAGGGTTCGAATCTCGTACCGGCAGGGATTGTAGGTGGGGGGAGTGAATGTACAGCACTCTCTCCCACCTTCAAAGGTTCCCTTGAGCAAGGCCATAAATGGCTGCCCACTGCTCCGGGTGTGTGTTCACGGTGTGTGTGTGTTCACGGTGTGTGTGTGTTCACTGCTGTGTGTGTTCACTGCTGTGTGTGCACTTTGGATGGGTTAAATGCAGAGCACTAATTCCAAGTATGGGTCACCATACTTGGCCACATGTCACGTCACGTCACTATATACACTGTCTCGTCACTATATACACTGTCTCAATGAAAACAAGCATAGCATCATCCCTTTTTCCACATGCACCCACAGCTAGCCAGACACAACAAGGAACTCCAGGCCATGCTGAAGCCAGGAGGGACGTATGGGGAGGGAGATGAAGCTTTAGAGCACTACGCCAAACACACAGCACAAATCGAGGTCAGTGGTGTCCATCTATGGTGGCCATTATGCATACAGCATCCATAGTTTCTCAGACTTGAGTACACAATCATCACTATTAATATTGTTCATTTGTTGAAAAACACTGACGTTTATGCTACGGACATGAAGCAATCTTTTCAAAGTGATTAGATTTACAAATTTCACCTGCCGAACCAAAAAAATCCTATAGACTTGTATTGTAGCGACCAGAATATCATAGATTTTTTTTATACACAGAACACTCTAAAAATCCTCTGAAAACCTTAGCAATTGCATAGCATAGCAACAGAAAATAAAAAAATAGTCCTATTATGCCAAAGTTTGTTCATATACAATTTGAATTGCTATATGTTGTGTTTATCTTAAATAAATAGCTTTGTCCCTTATAGTATGGTTACATTTACCATTGCTTTGCTAAATTTTTGCGGGCAAAATCCCATTTCAAAGCATCTATGCAATCGGGAGTTTCGCGTAATGGAAAAAAGATTTCCTACACAGATTTCGCTCCTGTATAATTTTGTTACATAAATTCACCAAATAGTCCAACATAAAGCTGCTTGGTTTGATAGTGACTTTTTTGAAGCAATGCTATCACTATTGACATTGGATAGTGGACCTTTCTTTACTTTTGAAAATTCGCTGAAATTTCGCTAATGTGATTGCACCATTAGAGGCGACAAGAAAAAAACAAAACAACAACTCTGTTTGTAAGTTCTAACCACCACTATAGCCAATCCAGACAGCTTGCAACATCTGTTTTTCCCTTACAGATCATCCGCCTGGATCGCACAATGGAGCAAATAGTTTTTCCCGTCCCCAACATTTGCGAATTCCTAACCCAGGAGTCTAAGCTCCGCATCTATTACACCACGGAGCGTGACGAGCAGGGCAGCAAGATCAATGACTTCTTCTTACGCTCCGAAGACCTCTTCAACGAGATGAACTGGCAGAAGAAGCTGCGAGGTACTCAAGAGGCCACTGGTAACGCAAACGCCGTGCCTTGTGCGTGCGCACTCCCTTCCTCTACAACCTAGTAAGCTGCTTTACACGCCCTCTCCACTCCCTCAGCCTCCAGGGACCCATCAGGGCTCTTTTCATGCAGTGCGCCCTGCTTTTGGGTGCCGGGATGCATGCCTCACCCTGACCCCTCAAGCCAGGGCAGTGGGGAGGGGGTGTAAACGTTAACTTATGTAAGATAGACAAGATAAAACCTGTAACTAAAAATTGTTTAGGCTTGCTTAAGATTTTAGTTTTATGTGCGCTTGAAGGATTGGGAAACAAAGAAGGAAGATGGGTCAGGGAGAAGTGTGAATGGATCCCAAACAAACACACATGGCGGCTTACATCACAAAAGCTGATTACGGAAATAAGCTGAGCGAGGGATCAAAAAAACAGATGATGTTTCGGATGTTTTAGATGGATCTAAAACCCATTTTCCACCAACCGGGTGCTGGTGACCAATCTGGAACCATTTCCAACTGGCTCTGCACCAGCCCTTAAAACCTGCTGGTTTTAAAGCTTGCTTGAACCAGAAACTGATCAAAGGTCGAGGTTGGGATAATGGCCATGCTGAATTGGGATGTCAAAGTACTAGAATATATATATTTTTTTTAAATCTCAAAGGTACTGAAACCGGATTAAATTAGCCAGTACCCGTGCACTTTTGACTGTTGCATTGAACTGTTGCATTTCGAAATTCGGTTTCTGTGGAAAAGGATTTGGAAAGGTGAGGCAAGGATGGTAGAAAATGGGTTATTTGGAAAAGGATAAGAATTCTCAGACAGGAAGAGCATGAGGTGAACCGCAATAAGATAAAAACTGCAAGATAAGGATCTGAACCATGTCAAAAAGCAGATCGACAGACGGAGGGCTTTGCGACAGTTATTTTTCTTGCATGGGACATTTGGCCACAGTTCTTGTTTGTATCTTTTGAGTCTTTTGGTCATGAGTTGCTAATAAAAAGGAGGGTGTGAATTCCTTGTTAGTTAGCAATGCACCTATGTGACTGACATGTGAAGGTTTTTATCAGACTGAATCAAAGTAGAAGCAATGTTCCATTGCTGCAACCCCAAGTCATGAGTGTGGCGGTCTGTGTGTGAAAGTCCCCTCCTCCAGTTCCTCTTTTCAGACAAAAACCCCCTGTCAAAATAGCCATAGCACAGAAACTAAATCCTCCAGCCAGACTCCTCAAAGAGTCATGGGTCAAAACAAAGGTGGCGGTTGAGGTCACCAAGCTCTCGTATATGGTTTGGCCCCACTAAGGAACCCTTTGAACTCTTTGGCCATATTTATATGGTTTTTGATTTCAATTTTAAGTGCGGGTGGTGAAAGTTCTCTATACAACTGCACAACTGACCAAACAGCTTCTATCTTAATTCAATATGTGTTTTATTTGGAATAACATTGTTTAACTAAAACAAAATTATATTTTCAAAGGAATTCTAGAAGTAACAAAGTTAGTGCATTGGATGTTGTCCTGATTGGATGTAATTGGAAATGTGCATGGTCAGCTGGATCACATTTGAGCTTGAGATCAATTAGAATTGGTCCTTGAGATTGCCATGGAAACTAACGCACAACTGTCCTTGTGATGTTTAGTAGAAGGCTGTAGAATGACATAATGCAATCAATCACCTAAAAAAAACAAAAATCAAAAACAATTCAACTTGGAAGAAATAAAAGATGAGCAGTGCTCCTTGGAACTTGTTAGTGACATCATCCGTTATTTCTTCCCAGTAGGCATTGTCGTATTACGTAAGATTATTTTCTTTCTTCAAACCACAGTGCATTACATTTTTCTGTAACAGGCAGTTTTAAAGGTGCAATGTGTAATTTCTGACTTACTGCCGAAACCAAACAGAATTGCAAAAATAATTACTTTACTCACTAATTTCAAACACTGTCATCATCCATTGTTCAGGCAACCTGGTGATCCTGCTCCAAAGTCACACAATTGGTTTGAACCAATGTCGTTGTGTCAGTGCTCAAACGCAAGTGCTTGTTTGAATATCAGCAAATGGTTCCTAATAAAATCTGTCCATTTGTGTTTGTGACAGAACTAGGCATGGGGCGGTATGAGATTTTGACGGTATGATAACCTTAAGCAAAAATATCACGGTTTCACAGTATCACGGGCATTTACAGTCTTCATATTTTCACATAAATTACATTTTGGAAAATGATTGCATTGCAACGCAGTTTGTGCAAGTCCAGAACAGAGCCGAGTTGCAATAAGAGAAAAAAAACGTCCGGTTGCCGATTGCGTAAGTTCCAGGGGCAGCTTCTTAAGTTCGGCCATCCTACACACGTGACTGACAGCTCGCTCGAACCAACAGGAGGAGGAGAGTCGTGTTAATCTCTACACTGCACTCAACCTGAGGGATTCTTACATGTTCAGTCTTTGAGGAGACATGAAAAACAGCGCATACCGCAGGAATGGTATAACGGAAAATATGAGTGGTTTTGAAACCGTGAAATTTTCAAACCGTGGTATACCTTGAAACCGGTAATCGGCCCATGCCTAGACAGAACCATGTATGTGGAGCTCTGACATGGTGTGCATCAGGGGTGTAGTATTGGGCCCTTTTAGTTTTGTGATAGCATCCAAATAAACACTCTGCAAATGTGCATATTGTGCCGTGTTAGTGTACATGTCCCTTTAACATTTGGAATTTAATTTCTTTTACTTGCTGCCTCCTCTAGCTCAGCCCATTCTGTACTGGTGTTCCCGTAACATGTCCTTTTGGAGCAGCATCTCCTTTAATCTCGCCGTCCTCATGAACCTGTTGGTAGCATTCTTCTATCCACTGGAAGGAGTGCGTGGAGGTGAGACACAAGTATTTTTACTGTTTGCCATGAAATTCTGTACAAATGTAATTTGTATTTCTTTTCATATAATGTATATAAATATAAACACATAAAAATATAATATTATAAAAGAAAAAAAATAAATATAATTTTAAGTATAAATATAATTTCTGAAGTATTATAATATATTATATTTATAATATATTGTACTATAATAAAATTATATTATAATATATATCAGGGGTGGTTTCTTCATTAGGGCGATAGGGCAACACACCAAGTACAAAAGGGAGGGATTTTTTTTCTATCACATTCAGCCAAATCTGTCACTGTTCTAGGCTGTTTGTTCTGCATGATTTCACTATGGCCAAGAATCGCCCCGTGTTCTCGAGGGCTGGGTTCCAGTTCATTTTTTTTATGCCCTTCACTCGCTAACTTCCCTCCATCTCATTAGCTCGGATATACGTCACTGATTACGTTGCATGAGTGTCCACTGCTGGAGGAACCTTTGCAATGGGCTGAATTGGAACATCCTAGGCCCTTGATCACTTTGAATCTTCCATGGAGTTGATTCATTATTCAAATTTTTTCCCTTACGAATTAGTTTGATGCAGTATTCTATATGTGTACTGGTATGCTTAGGTTGTTATAAATGTTTTTTAAAAATGATATATTATAGAGTTTGTTTGGGATGGGGATAAATTAAACGCAATCTGCGAAGACGTCATAATCATGTTGCATTGTGGTCTATGGAGTGGCCTGAAGTGTGCATATGAAGTAGCAGTCCCTCAGTCAAAGTCAAAGGGTCGAGGGTCTGTCCATATAAACTTTAGCCCTCCACTTTATGAAGTGGAACGCACTTAAAAAATGGCAGCGAGGATTCCCCCAAGGGGAACTGCATAGGGAAGTTTCCATACAAAAATTTTTTTTTCGAACTGCAGGCACAATACTATGCCCTTATAGTATGTACTCTTTTGGTGAAGAAAAGGTACACACTTTTGAGTGTGTAGTAGAAGAGTAGGCAAGCTTTGGGACATACTATCACATCATACAATTGCGTCTTTAACGGACCGCTCTGTCGCAGTTACACACACCCTGTCGCTGTAAACTGGCCTGTCAATCATCTTGTCACATTTAACATCCTCCACATTTAATTTAATTGAACTTCCTACCATATTGGAGAGAAAAGAAGTAGCACGTTGATCTGCCAGCCATGGGTCTTTATGCGGAGACCTCTGCTCATATTTTTATTAATATTTTGGTTAATATAATTTTTTTTTTACCAGGTTAAATGTTGATTATTAGTAACTCAAACCCCTTTATCTAAACCTCTCTAGTTAACTGTTGGTCGCGCACATCTGCCATTTTATTGTTTGTTTTTTAACACTTTTTATTCGTGTTTGTAGTTCTGAACGGAATCCTTCACCAAAGCACAATGGATTGTGGGTAATATTAGCCATTAGAGGGTGCACGGATCCACACTTCAAAAATCTACCTGAAATAGTAGACCATCTAGGGACTTTTGGCATACTCTTTTCAACATACTGTGCTTTGTGACACACTTAAAGGGATAGTTCACCCAAAAATGAAAATTCTGTCATTAATTACTCACCCTCATGTCGTTTCAAACCTGTAAGACCTTCGCTTATCTTCGGAACACAAATTAAGATATTTTTGATGGAATCTGAGAGCTGTCTGACCTTCCATAGACAGCAATACAATTGAAATGTTCCCAAGTCCAGAGACGTAGCAAGGAGATCTGTAAAATAATCCATGTGACATCAGAAGTTCAACCGTAATTTTCAAAGTTCAAAAGCTAATTAACAAGCTACGAGAATACTTTTTGTGCACAAAAAAAACGACTTTATTCAACAATTCATCTCCTCTGCATCACCATGTAGTGCCATTTTGGAGAATATCAGCTGGACGTAAACAACGTATGCTGTCGAATCTGTTTCCTACGTTGTTGTGATTTGATCTGAATGAAAACAGCATATCCGTGTGACGCAGCTGACACAGAACAGCATACACATGTTTACGTCCAGCTGATATTCTCCATCGGAACACTACAGGGTGATGCGGAGGAGACAATTTTTTTTTATTTTATTTTTTCGCACAAAAAGTATTCTCGTAGCTTCGTAATATTACGGTTGAACCCCTGATGTCACATGGATTATTTTACAGATCTCCTTGCTACGTTTCTGGACGTTGATCGTGGTAGTACCCTTGCTGTCTATGGGAGGGTCAGAGAGCTGTCAGAATGCATCAAAAATATCTTAATTTGTGTTCTGAAGATGAACTATCCCTTTAAGTGCTCTGTAATTGTTAGAATACCAACCACAACTTTGATTAACATTGCTAGAGTACAGATTGCTGTTTTCATGGAGGTAATTGGGTGCAGTCAGCAACAGAAGCTGGAACTTGACACTTCACTGACCTACTTTCAGCACAAACAGCCCCTGAAAGACATAATTTGGCCTACATAACAGAGCTCCAACAAAAAATGTTGCTGGCCTCACTTCTGTCATAGCACATCTTATATTATTCATTCATTCTAAGCGATATGATGTCCTTCACTTACCTCAGTAGCATACAGTTCTCTTGTAGTTATATAGTTCAAATTTTCAGCCCACCCACACATTCAATCAAGCATTTAATCAAGAATGATTTTTTTTGTAAAATATAAAAAAAAAAATGCGGAGAAAACAAAACTAAAATACAGACACATATCTACCTTAAAACACATCTGAAAGCATTTCTGATCCAAAAGCGTGTGTTCTTTATGGGGTGTCATAATTATCGACATAACTTTCCTGCATAACCTGGTTATTGATCTTGCCCTCTTATCCGAGATCACTTGCATAACATGTCACCTGACTCCAGCGCTCACACGCACACTATTTCCCTAATCTCATAAGCTGTTAGGACTGTGTGTCTATATCTCCTCCCTGCTCTTTCTGATCAAAAGTGTGTGTTTGTATACATGTCGAAGGAATACGACACCTGTTTATGTCAGCTGAGATTTGGTCCTGAAAACAGAGACCCAGATAAAGACAAAGCGTTCATTCTTATATCACAGCTTAAGCACAAGCTGCCTGTGTTAACGTTTGTGATCAATATCATCCTACATTCAAATGTAACTGATGGCGTAACTAGGTATAAGTAATGTTTCTAAGTAAAGTAATGAGGCCTTTCTGTGTTTCTTTCGTTCTTTCTTGTATGTTGTGTTGAGTAGTGATTGTCCAGTCATTGTGACTGGCATAAGCGCCACATTGTGATTGGCATAAACTCTGCATTGTTCAGGCTGGGGTCAGGCTCCGAGGGGTCTTTTGTTTTGGGCCTTTCCCTTTCTCAAAGTGCGCATGAGCATTTGGGCTTTTAATTGAAATCTCTTTTAGTCTCTAAAACAAAGGGCTCCTCTGGGAGCCAAAAACACACTGAACTACAGCTCTGGTACAGATTCAATATGTGACCCTGGACCACAAAACCAGTCATAAGGGTCATTTTTAATTAATCTGAAAGGTGAATGAATAAGCTTTCCATTGATGTATGGTTTGTTAGGATAGGACAATATTTGGCCGAGATACAACTATTTGAAAATCTGGAATCTGAGGGTGCAAAAAAATCGAAATACTGAGAAAATCACCTTTAAAATTGTCCAAATGAAGTTCTTAGCAGTGCATATTACTAATCAAAAATTAAGTTTTGATATATTTACGGTAGGAAATTTACAAAATATCTTCATGGAACATGATCTTTAATATCCTAATGATTTTTGGCATAAAAGAAAAATCGATATTTTTTAATCATACAATGTTTTTTTTGGCTATTGCTAAAAATATACCCCAGCGACTTAAAGGGTTAGTTCACCCAAAAATGAAAATTAGCCCATAAATTACTCACCCTCAAGTCATCCTAGGTGTATATGACTTCTTTCAGACAAATCCAGTCGGAGTTATATTAAAAATTGTCTTTGATCTTTCAAGCTGTTTCATGGCACTCAGCGGGTGTTGCATGCATCAGTCCAAAAGAAGTTAAATAGAAAGTGCCCATCCATAAAAAGTGCCTCACACGGCTCCAGGGGGTGAACAGAGGCCTCCTGTAGCGAATCGATGTGATTTTGTAAGAAAAATATCCATATTCAAAACGTAATAATCACTTTAATGTAGCTTGCGCCAACAGTTGTACACGGAAGCAGCTCCAGGAGGATGACGTAAGATGTTGGCGTTGCGCTGAGTGGCATTTTATATAACTCCGACTGGATTCATCTGAAAGAAGAAACTCATATACACCTAGGATGACTTGAGGGCGAGTCATTTATGGGCTCATTTTCACTTTTGGGTGAACTAACCATTTAAGACTGGGTTTGTGCTCCAGGCAGGGCTGGATTGGTAATCGGGCATACCGGGCATTTTCCCGGTGGGCCGACACACTTAAGGGGCCGACAGAAAACCTTCACGCAGGGACAGCGAACAGCCAGTGGCCCATTGGTTTGTCTCCTGTATTGACAGCGTAAACATCCAATCACAATATAGACGGAATGATTAAATATTTTGCTCCGCCTATATAAAGATCGTATCACCCCAACTTCTTCCTTGGCGGCTTTTCCCACGTTTTCACAGGAGATTTATCAAGAAAAGGCTTGCTCTGCGGTGAGTGACTCGGGCCAAAGAGCAAGGCAGGAGGAGAAGAAGAGAGTAGTTGAATTGTTAAAGCCTCGATTCTGAATATTTCCTGGCCGCCCACCAGCCCTGTCGGTCCAAACCCCAGCTCGGCTCGGCTGTGAAGTCTGTCCTTGCTCGGTACCCGACGCTCATGCATCTTTCAGCCGTGATATTTTTAGCACGCCGGGTTATGTAACAAGCGCCTGTCATGTGGTCTACTCGCAGGCGGGAGAGCGAGTGAGTGATCTGGAACCATTGCCTCTGTGAAGATCCTGCAAATCAGACTGATCTCATTTTTCTTCTCTATATACACACACACCCGCTTAGCAATCCTACTAATGTATTCCCACATAAGACCTCGCTGTACTGTACATTTCATTGCCGTTTGCATAGAACAGGACTTAAACAAGGATTAAAAACGATGCCAGAGCGGCTGATGACAAAGCTTCATTGAACCGTAACGTATTCAAATGTGTCACTCTTTCAGGGTTATGTAACTTTTTTTCAAAAAAAATTTTTTCAAAGCATCATTCCCTTGAGGGCTAGAATGTGCCCGAACATGTTCAACAGGTGAAACTGCAAGTACTTCAGGGAATCCCATTTAGATCTGCTGTACAGAATCGCAGTGCAGTCATGGGTAGTGACAATGAATATAATCTTAGCTTATCATCTGCACTTCTGTTATTTCTCAAAAATAGTTAGAGGTAGTTCACCTAAAAATGGAATTCTGTTTGTTGCAAGCCTATGACCATGAAGGCCTATGACCTGTAATCATGAAGTTTAGCTGAATTTCTTGACTCCCATTTTCAATATGCAGTGAAAGAGCTATAAAAAAGCACCTAAAAGTACCATAACAATCTGTATGACTCTGAAATTGTATGAAATGTTAATTATATGGAATGTTTTGGAGCTCGGTAGCACAAGTCTTCATTCACTTTTTCTTTTGTATTCCACGGAAGAAAGAAATCATGAGGGCAAGGAAGTAATGACAGAATTCTTCATATTTCCATAATCTGATCGAGACAGCCTGCACATGTTGAAACAACCTAAAAATGACACAATTCCCAGAAACACACTGGATTGTTGATCAAAATCTAAGTTGAGTCCCTGAGATAGTTGAAGACAAGGCCTGAAACATCGGTGACGCTGCAACCATGACAGATGGCATGATAACATGTCACTTCTGTGGTGTTGATTGCACTAAAACGTGTTTACCTTTTTTTCCTCAGGCACCCTGGAGCCACACCTCTCTGCACTGCTTTGGGCGGCAATGTTGGTTTCACTGGCCATAGTTATAGTACTGCCCCAACCTCACGGGATTCGGGCTCTCATTGCTTCCACCATATTACGCCTCATATTTTCAGTCGGCCTGGAGCCCACACTGTTCCTTCTCGGAGCCTTCAATGTGAGTGAACCGACAGTCTTTTGACAAAACTCGTCGGGTCGGCGGTGTTGTTAGAGGGCAACTTGGTATGTTTTGCACCAAGGTGTGTCGAACGTCACTGGGGGATTCCACACGGCTTTCACAGTCCGATGTTAAAATGGACTCAGCTCACACAATAACACTTCCCCTAACAGTGTGCACACTTAGGCTACATTCACACTGCAGGCAAATGTGGCCCACGTGACTCAGATCTCTTTTTCTCATGACAGTGTGAACAGCACAAACCACATGGAATCTAATCTTTTCAATTCCGATTTGTGCCACTTCCATATGTGATACTAAATCCGATACAGGTCAGATGTCTGCAGTGTGAACAGTCATATCGGAATTCATGCGACTTTTACGTCACTCTAGATCAACTTTTGTCACGATTCTGCGCTCATGGGAGTCACTTCAAAGATTTTGCATACCCAAAGCTATCAAGACAGTTGTAAAAGGTAGTCAGTGGAAGTACAGTGATGTGTCAGAACTTATAAGTATTACAGTGACAACTCCATATACAAGCAAAACATAAGGGCTCTTAAAGTTTCAAAACTCTGCTCTCTTCTGCCACATCCTTGTCTTTATTTTTCATATTGCCTGCACATAATTTCGCTGGCTTCTGCGACAGATCACACTATAAATAAATGCGTAATTGCTTACTTTATGTCCTCCGTGTTTACTTCAATATGACGAGTGTTGCCAAGTGTTCAAGTGTTGCCAAGTCCTCAGTTTTCCCGCAGAATTGGGCAACTTTTTCATCTTTTCCACTGGTTGTTTTTCAACTCTGCGGGTTTAAGCGACCCCATTAAAGCGATATATCCCCCAGAACACGATTGGGATAGTTTTGAACTAGTTTTGAGAGGCTATTGGGCAGATTTTTTTGTGAAAACCTGGCAACCCTGTTCGTATTGTTCTTTTGCGCATGCGGGTCAATTCAGAAGCATGATCTGTTCACACTGGAAATTTGATATTTGCCACATTTAAAACAACAATGTGAACAGCTATACAAAAAAAAGCGGATCTGAGCAAAAATCGAAATTGAGCACTAAGGCTTGCAGTGTGAATGAATCCAAACCAACTATCAATTCCAGAAGTTTGGGGTTGTAAGATTTGAATCTTTGTAAAGAAAAATATAATAATAAAACAAGTATTTTACTCTGTAATGCCTACCAAGACTGCATTTATTTGATCAAAAATAAAATAAAAACAGTAATATTGTGAAATATCATTACAATTTAAAATAACCGTTTTCTATTTCAGGCATTAAACCATGATACAGTTTTTTTAGGATTCTTTAATGAATAGGAAGTTAAAAAAATTGTTTATTTGAAATGACAGTGTAACAATGTAAAAGTCTTAACTATCACTTTTGATCAATTTAATGCATCCTTGCTGAATAATAGTTTCCATTTCTTTCAAAAAAAGAAGAAAAAAAGTCTGACTCTGAACATTTAAACGGTAATTTATTTCCTACAAAACAACATGAGCTAGTAACTTTTTTTGTTCATAAACAGACTTGCACCCTTTAGGAAGTTAACAGTTGAGGCTTGCTTACATTATTGAAAAGAATTCGCTTAATGCTTTGATTTAGTGGTTTTATGTATAAAAAAGATTTCAAAATAAGTTAATGGAAACATTTCATAATGCGGACATTGAAAACTGATGCAATTACTTCAGCCTGTAATTTGTGGTTGATTCAATTGTTTGTATATCCTTAATGATATGCTACAGATAAATGTTCTCATTGCTAAATTTGACCTCAACTTTTTATATATGAGCCAAAATTCAGTTTGTAACTCCACTGAAATCTCTTAACGTGATGGTTGTGATTTCAGGTGTGCAATAAAGTGATTTTTCTAATGAGTTTCGTGGGAAATCGCGGTACGTTCACAAGAGGATACAAGGCCATGATTATGGATGTGGAGTTCCTGTATCATCTGCTTTACCTCATTATATGCAGCCTTGGAGTCTTTGTTCATGTCTTCTTCTACAGCTTGCTTGTGAGTAATACACAAACACACTTTCAATCACTCCATCAGACATACCGTAACCTATCTTTCACACGTGGACGTCTCTTCTAACTCTGACCTCTCACACGTTCACCAAGATGTATACTGTATACACACACACTGTCTCTCTCCAGCTCTTTGACCTGATCTACCGAGAGGAGACACTGTTAAACGTCATCAAGAGTGTAACAAGGAACGGCCGCTCGATCGTTTTGACCGCAGTGCTGGCTCTCATCCTGGTCTACCTCTTCTCCATCGTTGGATACATCATCTTCAAGGATGATTTCATCCTGACCGTGGACAGGATACCCAATAAAACTCTTGGTGAGAAAAACAGATGGATGTTGCTCAAAGCTGTGCTCGGAGTCTGAAAATGTATCTTTGAAATAGACGTGGCAGTCCACATTGTACATGGGAAATCTCTTGTTGTGTCATGCAACAGATCAGATTTTAAAGATCTAGCCGGTTATTTCACAAAACATGTCAATAACATGTATGGGCCACCCTAAAATCAAAAGAAAGAAATAAGAAATTTTGTTGTATGCTTATACAAAATAAATCCTATTTTTTACATTCTGAGACTATTTGAATGACAATTCAGGTCATTTCACTCCTGAATAGCATTATTATATCATTAAAAAAATGTAATTCTCCTTATTTTAATGTGAAAAAGTTATGTATACTACCATTTAATGTTTGGGATCAGTAAGATTCTTTTTTAAGAAATTAATAATTTTATTCAACAAGGATGCATTAAACTGAGCAAAAGTGACAGTAAAGGCATTCGTAATATATTAAAAAATATTAAGCCGCACAACTGTTTTCAACATTGATAATAATAATAAATGTTCTGGAGCAGCAAATCAGCGTATTAGAATGATTTCTGAAGGATCATGTGACACTGGAGACTGGAGTAATGATGCTGACAATTCAGCTCTGCATCACAGGAATAAATACAATTTTAAAACATAATCAAATAGAAAACAGTTATTCTAAATTGTAATAATATTATAATATTACATTATTGTAATGTAATAATATTACAGTTTTTACTGTATTTTTGATCAAATAAATGCATACTTGGTGAACATTAGAAACTTCTTTCAGATATAAAATCGTACGTACCCCAAACCTAAAATTATATTAAATCATATATTATAATAGTATATTAATCATATTTAAATAAATATTGATTTCATTATAAAACACAATGTTTCGTTAAAAGTAACAATCTATAGCTCCTAATCTGCAGTTTTCCCCCTATGTTCAGAGCAATCCGCCAGTAAGATGGGAGAGTTCCTGGCAGGTGCGGTGTGCCGGAAAGGGGAGAACTGTTCCACAGAGACCGTGATGGATGGTATGGACCCCATCACCCACAACTCTCCTTCACACACAGACTCATAGTTAAATCTGAGTAGTATGGCCTGGTCATGAGACAAGGAAAGGAGAGGCTCAGTGTCCTCAAGAAGCCCTGGTAGGGTATGTGGGTGATGTTTGTGGTCGGAGGTTAATTACAGTCAGGCACTAAATGCTCAGCGGGTTCATGCTGGTTCGGGGTTTGAGGTCAGACCAGTATAATTCAGATTTGTAAGCGGGTCTTTGAGTGTGTACGAATTTAAGATGCAAGGCCAGCCTAATTTGATCACTGGAGGTGATCGGCCAATTGGAACCCACTGAACCTGTGGAGCATGGCCTGTCTGCACCCGGGAATGTGTCTTATCTTGTTTAGCTCATCAGCTAACATTGAAAGACCTCACTTGGGGCCAGTTTGAAACTTAGGCTAGCATTGCTATTTCTCATAAATGGTGTTTCTTAGGTTTAACAAATGATCAAAATATTAAAGAGGTCATATGATGTTGCTAAAAAAGAGCATTATTTGGTGTAATGAAATGTGTTTATGTGGTTTAAGGTTCAAAAAACACATTATTTTCCACATACTGTACATTATTGTTTCTCCTCTATGCCCTGCCTTTCTGAAACGCGTCAATTTTTACAAAGCTCATCGTTCTGAAAAGCGAGGTGTGCTGTGATTGGCCAGCTATCCAGTGCGTTGTGATTGGCTGAATACCTCAAGTGTGTGACGGAAATGTTACGCACCTTACCATACTGTGATGCCGTGTCCCGACGCAACGAGACAAAAACAATAAAACCTATTATAAACGAGGCATTTGTTGCATCCAGTGGGGACATAATTACTGATTATAATGACTTATACTGTCTTTTTACGCGTTGCGTTGCATCGCGCTGCGTAAACATAAAACTCTGTCTGCATTTGTGATCGGAGAAACTACGAACAACAAGCGCTACTCTACACTGCTCAAAACTCACGTTTGAATCATCAGTGGCAAATTCTTTAAATATGAAAGCGAACTTACAGGCTGTGAGCCAGCATTATTTGTCAGAACACCGGCATTGTAGGCTACTCTCCCAGGAAACAGTCTTTGTCCTCCTTAAAATGCGCTACACACATCTGAATATTTGGGTTGAACTGTTCTGGAACAGTGTTGTAATTACAACGTAACCACTTATTTCTAGTTGTGTCCTCTTTTGGAAGACCAAACAAAGTAGTTTCCACAACGAAACTCCACGACATGGCGGCGGCGGCAGCAACAATACTACAGCAAGAATAAAAGTTACGCCTTCTTTCTCACACAGTGAGGTAGATATGTGGGGGCATGTTTAAACGAGGCATTTTAGGAGGGTGTGGACGAGTCTTAACTTTTATAAAGAATATCTCTTTGGGTTTGAGACTTTAGTCTTTGCTTAGTCTCAAAGGGAACTTAGGGAACTTATCTATTCACAAACAGCTTGTAACACTCCAAAGATAAAGGACAACTTGAAATCACATCATATGACCCCTTTAAACTTTGGTACACACACTACTGTTAATAAGTTAAGGGTTGGTAAGATTTTTTTTTATGTTTTTGAAAGAAGTCTCTAATGCTCACCAAGGCTGCAAAATACAGTAAAACAGTAATATTGTAAACTGTAATTTCAATTTCAAATAACTGTTTTCTATTTTAAGATGCTGTATTCCTGTGATGGCAAAGCTGAATTTTCAGCAGTCTTTAGTGCCACATGATCCTTCAGAAATCATTCTATCATTTTTAATTCTTCAGTATTATTTGATAAATAGAAAGTAAAAAAAACAGCATTAATTTAATAGATATAATATTTTTAGATTTTAATATTTTAATAGAAATCTTTAGAAACACCTTCGCAATCATAGCTAGCACCACTCACGTTTCCTTTAGAAAATATACAAATCTGGTTGTATAAATAGTTCTGTATTTGTTTGCAAATTATCTTTGCTCTTTGTGAATGTGTAATGTGTGTTATGATCTGATAGCTTTGGGCCCTATTTTAGGAAAGCATTTAAGCACAAATGCTATTTTTGCTTTAAGATTTGCATGTATGTGACCGTTCAGTCTGAGAACTTTCTGTGGAACATCCCACAGTACTACAGAGCGCTTTGTCAGATTAGTAAGACTTTTTGTTTGTTTGTTTAGCGCTTATTGATGTTCTGTTTCCTGCAGGTGTGGGAGTACAATCGACTGCGGTCGTGATTGAGGATAAGGAGAGGACGTGCGACTCGCTGCTCATGTGCATCGTCACCGTGTTGAGCCACGGCCTGCGGAGCGGCGGTGGGGTCGGAGATGTTCTGCGCAAACCTTCTAAAGAGGTACCACACAAGGGCCTCAATATTAATTTGGGGTGGGACTGTCTTTTTATTCGGCCTATGGCAGATAGGTGTTCAGGAAACCTGCTTGAAAACAATCACTTTTTTCCAGTTCCACTTTGCAATGCTAGCGGTGCCGAAAAGTGTTATATATTATTATTATTTAAAAAACTAAAGCTATTTTTTTACTTGAAATAAAGTAATCGTTACTATAAAAATAAAAATATATTATTAAAAACTTCTTAAAACTTCTAATTTTCATTGATATCTGAAATCATTATAAAAACTATATATATATATATATATATATACTAAAAAAAAATTATATATATATATTTATATATTGATGACTCCAAAAATATATTTCTGAAAACAGAAAGTATAATAATAAAAACAAATTAAAATTTTTTATAAAAGCTATTATGATATCTCACTGATCCTAAAATAACACTGTTGAATAATCACACACTTCATTGTTGTTACAAATGCTGTTATGATCACTGATTGGTGCATTTGGAATAGCCAATCAATCATTTTTTCATTCTTTTAGTAAATAATTTTTTGGAAAAAAAAATCAGGTCTTTAATATTGTAGTTCTCAAACAGTGCGTTTGGTCGCTCAAAGATAAGGGTAGTTGGACAGAGTTAGAGGAACACTGGTCTATTATTGAATGTTGATTGGGAGGATCTTGAATTGGAAACAACACTGACATTAAAACCTCTTGCGTCTCTTTTCTCCGTAGGAGCCTCTGTTTGCAGCCCGTGTGATCTACGACCTCCTCTTCTTCTTCATGGTGATCATCATCGTCCTCAACCTCATTTTTGGAGTCATCATTGACACCTTTGCTGACCTCAGAAGTGAAAAGCAGAAGAAAGAGGAGGTTCTGAAAACGACTTGCTTTATTTGTGGTGAGTGTCTACACGGCCTCAACGCCAAATACCCAAATTATTACTTCTCTGTGGATGGCCTTTCATTTCAGTCGAATCGCAAAACAAAATGCAAAAATCTTGCTCCAAACCCCCTGACATACAGCTGAAATTTTTGTTTATTAAAATAAAAAATTTTATTAGGGCAAATTAGAACCTAAAACCTTATACTCGAATCGAAAAAATTACCACCAGAAGGACAAGTTATGCTTAACGCTTCATTGCAGATCTAGGCTTTTATCCACTGATCTACAAAATCCTGGGACTGAGAGGGGCATGGGATGTAAAAAAGAGGATATCAAACCAAGGCCATTTGAGAACATTATATATTGAAAAGCAACAGCTTAGTCGTTGTTTAAATGATTTTCAAAATTTCTAGTTGGTATTTTGTTGTTCATATTTCTGTTTTGGCTTAGAAATGTACTCTGCTGCAAGCAATGCATCACATAAATTATTTCTAAAAACAGTAAAGCATGCACATATCCTAATTAATATTTATGAGCCTTTGTCATTTTGAGATGTAACTCAGTCCTCCTAAAGGTTTGCAGAGTTTTATTAAGTTATCTTCAGTGAATCACAGATGTGTTCATGCACCTATGTCCAGAGGCGGACAGTAACTAAGTACATTTACTTGAGTATTGTACTTAAGTACACTTTTTGAGTATCTGCACTTTACTTGAGTATTATTTTTTCTGGAAACTTATGACTTTAACTTCACTGCTTTAACTTAGTGCTTTTCACTACATTTCTATGAAGGTCCTCGAAGTAGAAAGTCGTTTATCAGTTACAGTTTATCAGTAATCACTCTTGTAGGGCTACATGAAGTGATTTCCCAGCATTTTTTGACCACTGACCAGTTGCAAATGTGATATTTATTTACAACAACTCAATAATAAGAAGTTAATGTAGTGGTATATGTTAAAAGCTCTTTATTCCAAATATACTACAAGTTAGTCAGTGTATTCAGCAGGTGTAATGTATTCTAAGTTGCTTCAGAAGTATTGCAAGTACTACGTACAACAATAAAACAGTGCGTTGACATAAAAAAGGAAATTTACTTTCGGTACTTAAGTACTTTTAAAAGCGAGTACTTCTGTACTTTTACTTAAGTAAAAATCTGTCTTTACAACTTTTACTTGTAATGGAGTAATATTTGACCAGCAGTATCTGTACTTTCACTCAAGTAATGGAGTTGAGTACTTTGTCTGCCTCTGCCTATGTCCCATAAATTTCATAGGCGCATAAAACTGTTTAGCTCCAGCATAAACATTAGGACGCCCCCTCTTCACCAGAAGTCTTAGTCATAACTCACTGTGGAGGTGGTGGAGTGGCTTCCTGTTGCCACTTGGCGTGTTTGACCATGTTAGTGTGAGATCAGCTGTAAATGATCATAAATCTCACAGTGATTATATAAGGACGCTGTTCTCGACTTGTTGGGATTCAGTTAATCTCTCGGGCGATTTCCCGATCCATGACTAACACAGATGAGCAGTACAAACGTGCGATTGGAGAGTAGGTGACGTGTTGCAGTCAAGTGACAGTTTCCCAATGTGTTTGCCCACCAATCACGCATCCAAATTAGGCTGTTTGTTTGTGACCATCACAAGATTCATAACCTCCGTTTGCTCATAACACGCACCATTCATGCTTGTATACAAACAGTTTCCCTGTGGTTCTACTTCCTCTTCCAGATAGTACAGTTTTCTTTTAAACCAAACCAATTTTAAGAAAGAAATTGTGTTATGCATCATGTCAGCGTCTTAAAGGATTGGTTTCCCTCTCACTGAACGAACTGCATAGAGCTAAATAAGTTCCTGAACTAAACAAACCCTTCTTTTTGGACAACTGATCATTGGGCAGCTTGTCACTTCAAGATTACTCTTAATCTTGATCTTCTAAACTGACTGTAACCCTTAAAAACCAGGTACATGTGGCAAGGCCCATTTACAACAACTGCTACAATCTCATTTCGTTGTAACTGTGTTTCTGGTCTACAGGATTGGAGAGGGACAAGTTTGACAACAAAACAGTGACGTTTGAGGAGCACATTAAGGTGGAGCACAACATGTGGCATTATCTCTTCTTCATCGTGCTGGTGAAAGTGAAAGACTCCACGGAGTTCACAGGGCCAGAGAGCTATGTGGCCGAAATGATCCGGGTAAGGGATCTGAAGTGCAACAGCAGAATTTATTTCAGTTTGAAATCAATTTAACATACTAGATGGTTATGGTAAGATAAAAAGACAATATTTCCAGTCACAACAGCAAATTGTTTTTTAATTTTAAACTGAATTTAACATTTAAGGTGGATATGGTATCTCAAAGAATTTCATTTTTTTGGACTTTTTACGCCACTTCTAAGAAAAGTTCTAACAAGAGCCGGATCTATTTACTGCAGTGGAATGTGGAGCATCCATTGGCTAACCATTCGTTCAGTTTAAAGGAATATTCTGGGTTAATTACTAGTTAAACTCATTTGCAGCATAGTTTTGATTACTGCAAAAGTTAATTACGTCTTGTCGCTCCAAAAATATACTGTTACAATGAAAGTGAATCTGTAATCCAAATAATGAAAATATTCACCGTTTCAAACAAATAACCACACAACATGAACAAGATATTTTAAAGAAGATATTTTCAACTTTACAGTTTTGTTGCCATGACAATGTAATACCTAAATCCCTAAAATGACCATAAAAAAATGACGAAAACCCTTACGGGTCTAATGAATAATTAAGCAAATATGTTTTAACAGAAGTGATCTGTTCATGAGTCAGTCAGATTATTTTGTTTTCTTTTGAAAGAACTGAATACTTTTATTTCGCAAGGAAGCATTACATTGATCAAGTGACAATAAAGACTTTATCATTTTGACCTTTGTATTCATTAAGGAATCCAAAAAAAATCAAATGTATCGTGGTTTCCACAAAAAATATTAAGCAGCTCAATGGTTTTCAACATTGATAATAATAAGAAATGGGGTTTGAGGACCAAATCAGCATATTGGAATGATTTCTGAAGGATCATGTGACACTGAAGACTGGAGTAACAATGCTGAAAATTAAGCTTTACATTACAGGAATAAATTATATTTTAAAATATTTTTAATTAGAGAACAATTGTTTTAAATTGTAATATTATTTCACAATATCCAACGGTAGACTAAGTGCTTTTATAACATTCACATTTTTGCTTTTAAATTCTCAGAAAAATAATGCCATTCACTACCATTGTAAGTGCCTCGCCGTAAATGATCTAGACAGCAGTCGCCTTTTTAGGAAACTGAGGTCACCATAAGGTAATTTAAGCCCTAGGGCCAAAGTCACATGATGATAGAAAATCAGCCAATGGCATGGCACAGTTTTGGATCAGTGGATGTGTTTGTTTACTGCTGAGGATTTTTTGTGAATTCTTAGAGTTGATAACGCTGTGATAACTTGACACTGAGCGTCTGCTTGTACACACAGAGAGAGAACCAAAGAGTTACGATCAAATAGCACATCCGATAGAGTGTTTGTGTGTGGGTTTCTTTCCCCCGTAGAGCAGCCGAGTTCAGAGAAGCCGTTTTATATCAGATTTCCAAAGAATGATGTATTTACGAGGACTAAACCATGCCATGATGGGGCATGACTACCCCTCAAAACATTTTTAGATCTTTTTACTTTTAGTTGAGTCCACAACCCCGGGACAGAAATGAACAGTTTAGTTTGCTTTGGGGAATGTGGCCTACTTTAAACTTTTTATCTTCGGGAAAGTGGAGTACTTAAGGAATTTTCCACCAGATTCCTCACAGTAAATCCCTTTAAATGACCCCAAACCTTCTCCTTTGACTTATGTAATCACAACTTGGTGACCTTAGGCCTCTCAGGGATGACAGAGCTCCTGTTTGCCTTCAGACTGGAGTCTCAAGATGTTCTGAAAATGGCTCGGAATGTGTTAATCCTGGAGAAAAGCTGTGACAGCGCACACACACACTCTCTCACACACACACACACACACACACACACACACAGCTCGCTTCAGTTCGTTGACCAGAGGAGCAGGAGTTCCCCTCATGATTGCAATATGTGCGTACGCCTTTGTATGCATGTGTTTCTTTGAAAAATAATCTCTTCGCTAAAGCACTGTGGACTTTTTCCTCAGAAAAACACTTTTAACAACTATAACAAATTGCTGGATGAATACCAGTTTGTAGCTCAATTGGGTTATTAAATGAAAAAAAAAGCCTTTTAAAATGAGGGCACTTATGTTGTTCATTTAAACATCCAGCTTTATCTATATTGTCTTTTTATAGGTCATCATATGCTTTGCTTAATGCAATGACGTGGAACTTTTAAGGTTAAATTGACTTTTGAGTAATTTTAGGTAAAGAGAAGTGCTCAGGAAAGCCCCTTCTGCACAAGTGGTTGTTCTCTTGACGCAGACAGTGCAGCGGTGGGTTTCTGACACGGTTTCTGATCTGTGTGGTGTCCCAACCTCCTTGGTGCCTTTCGAGGGTTCGCCATGTGGTTTTGGGAGGAATGACCTGACTTGGGATTAGTTGCTCTTTAAGGTGTCCTAAAAAAATGAGAAGCCTTTGACCTGACACCAAAGGGTAGAGAAATTTGTGATGCATCAATAGCAATGCAAGATCTCTCTTTGTGGTTTGTGAGAAGGTGAGAAAGAAATGCTGCGTAGAGCATCAAGCTGAGGTTGGTAAAGCCATTATTTGACTAGATAATGCACATGAAGTCACTTTTTGATGTTTTATTTAGTAAAGAGAAGGACAGGAAGTGATCGGGAGAATGGGATCAGGAAATTACACAAGCTGGGCTTGAAGTTGCACTGCCTGCATAAGCACCTGCAGGAATGTGTCCTAATAATTGGAAACAAGTTAGCATTTTTTAACTTCCGGTTCTACCGTCCCAAAGCCAATGGGATTTTTTTGGCTAAATGCCTGAAATAAGGTCTGAGGTAAACACAAGCTTGAGATAAGTTCACATTTTATTATATGACATCAAATGCATCAGTAAAACCCCATTTGGGATCTTTTAAAGCTTTTTAGGTGTCCTGAAAAAAATGGCTAAATGGGACTACAGAGATTGTTGGAGGGATTAAACGTTATCACACCGAACAAAAAAAAAACTTGTCTACTCGCTAGTCTGCTTTTACAGCCTTATTGTGTGTGTGCTTGTGCTCTTGTGAACTATTCAAACTTGAACTTTCTACAGTGCAGATTTGAAATATTAAATAAATAGTTGTCAGAAGCTTAGTGGTGGTGACATTGAAAGGGATAGTTCACCCAAAAATGAAAATTTGATGTTTATCTGCTTACCCCCATGGCATCCAAGATGTAGATGACTTTGTTTCTTCAGTAGAAGAAAAGATTTGTAACTCAAACCATTGCAGTCTGTCAGTCATATAATGGCAGTCAATTGGCTCCACGGCTTTGAGAGTAAAAAAAAACATACACAGACAAAACCAAATTAAACTAGGGCTGCACGATAAATCGCATGCAATATTTAATGTGCATCTTGTCAGTAAAGCCGGTTCTGTAATCAGCGGTAAATCTCCATCACTACACAGAGACAAGCTGCGCAAAACATGCGCAAAATATGATTGTGGTTTTGCGCAGCTTGTCAGTGAACAACGGCTCTGTGTAGTTAATGCTGCTCAATGTGAAAGCCCGCAGGTGATGGAGATTTACCGCTGATTACAGAACCGGCTTTACTGACAAGATGCACATTAAATATCGCATGCGATTTATCGTGCAGCCCTAAATTAAACCCTGCGGCTCGTGACGATACATTGAGGTCTTATGACACGAAACGATCGGTCTGTGCAAGAAACTGAATGAGGCATCTACTTATATATATCTATGTCTACTATGCCAGAGCACGTACACGCATCAGGCGCCGGATGTTGTGAACGCGCTCAGGACAGCTGGACATTGCAGTGGATCAGAGGTAACAAATTATATAAATACTGTTCAGTTTCTTGCACAGAGCAATCATTTCGTGTGTTAAGACCTCAATGCATCGTCACGAGCCGCAGGGTTTAATTTGCTTTTGTCTGTGTATATTTTTTGACTATCAAAGCAGTGGAGCCCATAGACTGCCATTATATGACTGACAGACTGCAATGGTTTGACATTATATGACTGACAGACTGCAATGGTTTGAGTTAAAAATCTTCACTTGTGTTCTACTGAAGAAACAAAGTCACCTACATCTTGGATGCCCTGGGGGTAAGCAGATAAACATCAAATTTTCATTTTTGGGTGAACTATTCCTTGAAGTCATGTGACTGTGATGCAGTTCATTTATAGTCCAGCTTTTTACTTCTGGTGATTGTATTTATGCTTCAAATTCAAATGCATTCGTAAACGTTGTGTATATTTGTGAAGATTATATTGATGAACAGAATATGTGATAATCATAAACATTTGTGGGTCACAGAGCTTATTTTCTGAAACAATTCAACAGCCAATGGAAAAATGCTACTGGTTCTTTGTTGAGTGATGCTAACGTCTGAGTTGGTCTACAAAATGATCTAATCACTGCAGTATGTTATTGTCTTAAATTTCTGCTGTTACTGCGCTTAAAACAATTACAGTATATGCACCTAAATTGTTTTGTTTAATATAATGCATCAAGACCAAAGAAGAAAGACCTTTGCTGTTTGATCGTCTACTTTCATTCAGGTAATTGAGGTTAGATCAAGCATTGTGTCTGTAGGTAGAACCCCTACATGAACCTGCCCTTTTCTCTTCAGCTTTTTTTCCCCTGTGAATATTATTCACAGCTTCATGATGACGTCTGTCATAATTGCTGCGCTTTGAAGATGTGCGTGAACGCTCGGGTCCCGTTTAGGACCCGATGCTGCTGTTGCTGCTCAGACCACAGAGCATCCTGTCTTAGTGTGTAGGCTCTTGTGGTATTAGTAATGAAATTCACACTTCCCTCATTTCCATTGAAGCAGCAGATACAGTTGAAATTGATGTGGCTAGAGCGCTCACACATTTACTGGCAATGCTGTCAAGTGTAAACAAAGCTTAGGAAATAGAGGTTTAAGAGGGGGCTGTTTCGGACGCACGAACGTGCACAAACACACCCAAATAAGTGTGAAACCAAAGCAGCACTTTAAAAGACGCATATGTTACATTTGCCCCTTTTTCCGTCATGCCGGATAAAGCGAATGAGTGCTGTTATAGATTCTTCATTATAGAGACAGTACAGAATTTTTTTTTAAATCATTTAGTATTTATTGCACTCACCCTCATGTCTTTCCAAACCTGTATCATTTCTTTCTTCTGTGGAACATAAAGATATTTCAAGTGTTATGTATTTCGAGTATTATGTTTTTTTCCCTCCACACAGAGGAAGTCAATGGTAACAACAATGTTTTGTTACTAACACTCTTCATAATATCTTCATGTGATCATATATGATGACACAATATTTGGATGAACTGTCCCTTTTAAGGAATTTTTTGTTTTTTTTACATAGAAGTAGTTGTAGTTCTCATTTCTGTAGAAGTAAGACCAGAGGAAGTGAGTATTTTAGTGTAGGTTGTGATTCAGACATGCCACTATATCCTCTAGATTTATATCCAGCATTAGAGACTGTGGTTTTTAAATTTGTTGGTTGTTTGGAGAAATGGGATCATGAAAAATAGCTTAAAGATTTGTTAAACATCCGCTTACAAAATATCATATTATAAATGTTGGTTTTACTTCAACCAACAACAGAAGTAGTTACAGAAATTCCCCAATATTTTACATTTAAATGTTTGTGTTTTATGTTTATTTTTCAAAAAAAAAATATTTGCTAAAAGTTTGCTTATGCTTTGCTATATCTCCGTAATCACATTTAATTGCAATTCTGAGAAAAACGCTGACCCGGTCTCTGGTTGTGAATTATTTATATATTTATTTATTTACTTTTTGAGTTATACATGTTGTATTTTACTTTTTTATTTGTTTATGTGATGTGTTTGTTTCATGAAACATTTTATTTTTATTTATTCAAAAGATAAACTATACTAAATAGAAATAAGTTAAGAACGCATATTTAGGATTTGTTGGTTATTTCGATTATTTTCGTTATTTGGTTATTTTATATTTTATAAATGTGTTATTCATATTATTTTACTTATTTTACGTGTTTTTCACTAGGTGCTATAGGTTTCTCTAATTAAATAAAGCTATATTCAGGAGTGTAAAAGCTCAATTTGAGTTTGTAGGTCGTCGGTCTACGTAATATACCCGCTATGAGGTTGGAGGAACTATGTTAGTCTGAACAGTGGGTGACATTGGCTTCATCATTTGACTGATTTCAAAAGCAGACTCAGTCAGGGTGAAACAGGTCTGATTAGCGATAACAGCGTGTGCCTCTGTGATGACGATGACGAAACCAGCTGACAGCTGGGCTCCATGCACAGACGACAGTGTTTGTGGGCGGAGGTAAACACAAACCTCAACATCTGTGGCAGCAGGAAGTGAGTGCACACGCACTCCTCTCTTTTTCTCAGAATGAGGGCGAGCATTACCTGTGATTTTCCCCAGTGCCTGAGTGGAACCGTCTGTCTGAAGTCTGAGCACACGGCCCGTCTGTGATTTCTGAGACAAGGGGACTTCTCTGCACCTGCAGCCTGAATGGCCTCTGTCTCTGTTTCTGTCACATAGACATGCATAAGCGGGTAGCTGACAAAATTACATATGCATGAACTGTTTTCCCCTATTATTTTAGGTTAAAGTTCAAATAAATGTTCAAGGGAAAGTGTTTATTTTTAGATGCTATGATTGCTCACCATTTCCTATGGAAGCTGTGTTCTGCCTCAGTAAATATTAAATGTAATTATGATTTTATTTCTCACAATTGTAATTTTATGTATGTATCTTTCTTATTTTTTTTTTTCAACACTGCTTTTAAAACAAGCTTTTCTGTATAATACTTTCTTCTATTGGGGATAGTCAAATATAAGTGAGCCGTTTGTTGGTTGAATTCACTTCTCTATTGCTTTCAAAAATATTGCTTTGTTTATTCAAATGCTCAATTTACGGCTAAAGCCAGCGATGCTACTTTGAGGTGGGACTATCTGTTTAATTGACCAATGACAGACAAGGGGAGTGTTCTGGAAACCTGCTTGAAACAGTCATTATTTTTGCAGTTGTCATTGCTGGATTCAGAAATGAAGTTTTCATGTGAGAAATTGTGGTTTTCCTTCAAACAACAACAAAAATAGCTCTTTAAAATTTATATTCAGTGTCAGAGTTTCCTTTCCTTTCCTTTCCTTTCCTTTCCTTTCCTTTCCTTTCCTTTCCTTTCCTTTCCTTTCCTTTCCTTTCCTTTCCCTTCCTTTCCCTTCCTTTCCCTTCCTTTCCCTTCCTTTCCCTTCCTTTCCCTTCCTTTCCCTTCCTTTCCCTTCCTTTCCCTTCCCTTCCCTTCCCTTCCCCTCCCCTCCCCAGATTTTTATAAAAAGCGTAAATATTCCCCAATTTACCAATAGCAGACAAGGAGAGTATTTTGAAAAGCCTGCTTGAAAACAGTCATTGTCATTACTATACATACTTTTTACATTTGCAACAACAACAAAAAATTGTCCTGCGGTATGCAGAAACATTCCAGGTATCCCATGCAGTCTATCAAGGAATATGAGAAGCCAAAAACTTCATGCATAGTAGTTATAAATAGAAAGAATTCTGTTTAAAATAGCTTTAGATGATGTATAGCATGTCACAGCGATTTTGTCATGATAACTGCTAGAGGATCTCGCTGACTTCCTTACAGGATATGAAAAAAATATGTTCACAAACCTCTGTAGTCTGGACTTGTCTGTCTGCAGGCCCAAGTTCATTTCAAAAACGTGTGCGTTTGTGTGTGTGCGTGCGTGTGTGTGCACAAGTGGACCAGCGAAGTAGGAAGTGTCTGAGCAAAGAATGGCGTGTTCTTTGGCCAGAATCCTTTTAACATTATATCTTTTTTTCCTGCTACTGTTAGAATCCCTCTCGTCCTTATTAGGAGCTGCGTTTGACCTCTCCCACCAGTCACAAGTCAGACATTCCGAAATCACATTTGGCTGGGGTTGGAGCTTGTAGACTCCCACTGTAGTCTATGATTGCTTGTTGTACTATAAAGCATTCTGAGATATTGCAACAAAAGAACATGGCTAGTTCATTAAGAACTTTTTGTCCCAGTCACAGCCCACAAAATCACTGAAAAAGTCAAATATAAACTCGGTACATTATATTTGCCTGTGTAAAACTCACAGTCATGCTAGTCGACAGAGGGAACAATGTGTTTTTAATGTGCTGCTATGCAGTAGTTTGGCTTAGAAGGCACCACTAATACAATTATTTAAAAAAATAATAATGTAAAGGTCATATTAGTTCAGTAAAATTTTCATATATTTTTATTTTGCCCTGTGGTAGCAGGAAAATGGTGCTTCCACATTTCTCCTTAATATTAGTTTTTTTTCATGCCAGCTGTGAGGTTGTTTTGGATGTTTTCTCCATCATAGGTTTGCTTTCATCTCGCGGTCAGAGACTGTTTTTAGTGTTTCACTTGATGAAATTAGTGTGTGTAATGTCAAAAATTGCGACGGTAGATTTCTCCTTGTTGAAAAATTGCATGCCAATTAGAGAGAAAAATAGTACTCCGTGTTATCTGAGGGTGAGGCTGTCCACATGCTCATGTGACTTTGATACTGCATTTCCTTAGTTTGCTGTAATCATATTACACATAGGAAATTTTGTCTGATGTAAGTAGACATATTCTTATAAACGGAGAGATAATGAGGGAATGAGAGGTGGAGGAGAACATGACTTCAAGTGCACCATTAGTTAATGTCTGATTTCAAGAATGGTATGTGGAAATCTAGTGGAGGATGTTTGGAAAGTGTTTTGGAAGGAAAAAATTAAGAAACTGAGCAATTAAATCATACAACAGACACTGAATAATGCTTCAACTGTCAGGCCAATAGTTCATGTAAAGTGACCCAAATAAGTCAGACTTAATATATGAATAAAGCTTTATTCAGTAACAAAATATCAAACATATGCTGCTAGAACTTAGAACTAACTTCACTTTTCTGTGCCATTTTTGCACCATTTGGTGATTTTTAGTGGATGTATACAGTCAGTGTCCCACAAATTCACACAGGTGGAGTTAATCATATTAACTATGAACATATGAATATACTGTATGAAGTATAGTTTTATCATTTAAGACTTAATTAATTAAGTGTCCAAGTACTTTACATTTGTACATTTTAAAATTACACTACCATTCAAAAATTTGGGGTTGGAAATATTTTTTTATGTTTATGAAAGTCTCTTATGCTCAGGCTGCGTTTATTAAAAAAAAAAAAACAGTAATATTGTATTTATTTATATTTATGTATTATTTATATAATTAAAATAACTGTTTTTATTTAAATGTATATATATTTTAATACCCAGTCTTCAGTGTCACATGATCCTTCAGAAATCATTCTAATATAATATCTAATAAAAAAAATTAAAATGATCAATGTTGAAAACCGTTGTGCTGTCTATTATTTAGTGGAAAATGTGATAAATTTTTTTCAGGATTCTTTAATGAATAGAAATATTAATTAAATAGAAATCTTTGATATTTGATTACAAATGTCTTTACTGTCACTTTTGATCTATTTAATGCATGCACATTTTTGAACAGTATATGAATTTATAACTACTGAAGGTACACTATTCAGTGATGTGCAGCTTTATATATAATAATAGTATGCTACCAAAAACATTAACGTCTAATATTCCAACAGGAACACAACTTGGACTGGTTTCCACGGATGCGGGCCATGTCGCTGGTTAGCAGTGACGCAGAGGGCGAACAGAACGAGATCAGGAATCTTCAGGAGAAACTTGAATCCACCATGAAGCTCGTCTTGAATCTCTCATGCCAACTCACTGAACTGAAAGAACAGGTGAGTGATGAAGCTTTGGGACTGATGTCAGAACATTATATCCATTCTGCTAGTTCTTCACGCCCCGATGAGGTTGAAGTGTAGTCTTGACCCTTTAAGCTGTTTAAATGGACTTCACAGACTAGAATTTAAGTTGGGTGTGAGTGAAACAAGGCCTTCAAGGTCAGTCAGCATGAGACCACAGCCTCTTCAAGGTTCAATTAGACCAAAGGGCAATGAGTCATTCCTGTCTGTCTTTCTCTCTGCCTTCAGCTCGTGGTATTTAAAATGATGTTTCAACTGCGTCACGAGGCCAAGTGTTGTTTCACTTTTATTCAGCCGCATTGTCGTCCAGATGAAGTTCTGCGAACTCGAGCTTGTTTGTTTCCACAGATAAACAGTCTAACTCGCATAGATGAATACGATAAAGTGGGTCATTGAGTTAGACGCGCATATTTTGATTTGGTGGAAATATGCGTAATGGGATTTGCTGTCATGTCGTTGATTTCTTGTAAATAGTGTCGAATTAACACCATCTTGAGGTGTGCAGCCACATAAAATGGGAAGTGTCTACAGGGAAGTTTTTTTTTCTTCTGTACTCCAGACAGGGGGAAAGGTCATTGTTTGGCTAAAAGAAGACAAAGCAAGTAAAACCCAACAAACTTTCACTATTTATTCTGCGTCAATGCGGTGGTTACACGTGTCGGGACCAGTTTTGCTTTTCCCTTTCTTACGTTAAACTTAGAGAGAATGATAGCATGGGTTGCCCAGAAAATATTTGAAAATTAATTATTTGTTTTTCCATTTGTTGTTCATTAATTGTTGATAATCTTGGGCTGTATTTTCAGTCTATGATCTGGTTTTTCTCCACTATTTTTGCTATCATACACTCTATTCTGATGGGAAAAAAGTGTAAATAAGACAAAATCAGAAATCAAAAATTCAAGTCTTCATAACTACAATAAATAAAACAAAATTTTTATTTTTTTTAAAGACATTCGGGCCCCAAAAGCACCATTTATATGAGAATTGTTTAACAATACACCATAGAATTTATGAATTTATAATTTATACTCATGTAACCAAAACAAAAACATAAAATTACATTCTAAAAATATAATCAAAGATATATTCACTTGAATTAATTGATGTATTCCAAACACTTTTGATCTGCAGTCTTATGCTTAAATGCTTGACATAATTTAAACATTAATAAATATATATTTTGCCTGTGTATGAAATGACACACAAACAAACTAACAAACTGCTTAGATTTGATTGTCACGTCTCAAGATTATTCCATACTGTGATCTATTTGACTCAAAGCACAAGTGCAACCATGTGATGTCCTTCCCAGTATTCCCTCATGTGACACGAATGGGTGTTTTTGGTGTGGGCTTAAATCTAGGCAGGATCTAATGTGGTATTTCAGCTCTAAAGCTTTTTTTATCTCAGATGTTTATTGTTAATGTTGTTGGATTACAGATCCGGTTGTGATAAACTGCAGTTAACGGCTCCCTATATGGAGTCACATTAGCAGGAGGAGCGAGCAGAGCCACTTACCTTTAAATGGCTGTGTGATTGTTTAGTAGTATGAGGTATTTCCTGTGGACATCAACTTTAATATACACATGCGTGAGTGTTTTTGGCTCACTTTTGCAGCTGTTGAGTCAGAGTAGGGGATTTTGGTATAGACGGTGTGAATTTCAGTGGAACTGCGTACGTGAGCATGAGTGTGTGTTAGTGTGTGTTGTAGCACAGTTACACAACACTGCATGACATTGCTCCAAATGCTCCATTTTATTTTCCCAGAAGCTTTTTTATAAGACAGCACACACACACACACTGTTGTGTTATGAGGTCATAACCAGAGCAACATGAAGGGACACACAGAATGCATCACTGCATGACATGCCTGATCTGTGGGAGAGACAGGAAGGAGATGAGGAAGATTTCAAATGAACAATAAACTGCAGATTTTTTTTAATGATGCCACAAAGGAAGCAAAAACTGTATAGTGAGATTTAACTGTATTTTCAGAGTTACTTTTACATATTTAACTTTTACTTCTTTGTATTTTTACATATTTGGATTTACTATACAAATATATGTGTCAATCTATCTATATGAAACTATACTGTATATTCAGATTTGTTTTTATAGATAACTGTATTTTTATTTACTTTCACACATTTTACATTTACTTATTGATATATATATATGGAAAAATATGTATATGCATGTATGTGTGTGTATATATATATATTTACATATTTGGATTTACAATGTATCTATATATATATATATATATGAAACTGTATATTCAGATTTAGCTATATTTTAATGTAATACATATCATTTCTTATAATACATAACACACACACACACATATATATATTTACATTTACTATCATCAATCACAACTCCAAGGTTTCTAGCTGTTTTTGAAGGAGTTATGGTTGATGAGCCTAACTGGATGGTGAAATTCTGATAAAGTGATGGGTTTGTTGAAACCACAAGCAGTTCTTTATATATTTTTCTATATATATATATATATACATGTAAATGTAAAAATTTGTACAATTTGTAAAAGTAACTGAAAATACAGTTAAATCTGAATATATTGTATACATCAGTTTCATATAGATAGATAAAATATCAAAAACATTTCCATTTTTCACATTTTTTGTGAATATATATTCTTATATGTACGGTAGGGCTGTGTATTGCCAGCAAAGTCACGATACGATAAGTATCACGATACAGTGGCCACAATATGATTTCACCTTAGCAGAATTTATAAAATAGCTGATTATTAAGCACTGCACACTATAGGGCCATTGCTAACTATAGACAGAACAGGCAGTTGACTTATGCATTATGAAGGGCCTCCATAACTGTACAACAGAATAACAATATAGGTAATGGCATAGGTTTCATGTTAACATTGGGCACTCCCCACCAGGTACAATATTCTGATTGTTTGCATCTTGTTTTTAAACCCATAAATAATAATGTACCCATTCTAATAAATGTATATTGTAATGTACTCATTCTAATATATTAATAAAATCATCTTTACATTACTGGTAGGTAATCACACTCTCTATATTTAAAAAATAAAAATTAGAAGCGTTATGAACTAATGCGCTGCCTTCACTGTAGCTCACGCGCACACATTCAGTTACTCACACAGATCACACTGCGCACACACACAGACATTCTGCAACACAGCGCTGCCCCGCAGTTTTATCAGTAAAATATCTTAACCGCTGAAGAGCTACGTTATCTTTCTCAGCAAGGAGTTGGTAACATCATGGTTTCGGAAGCAATTGAAGCCACAGCTTCACTGTTAGAGAAATGCTGCAAAAATGGAGGAAATTCATACATAGACAGTCTGTCTCTCTCTCTCTCGTAAATGAACACTTGATGAATTACACTTTTCTGAGAATAGAATATCGAAGTGGAGATCGCTACTGCAAGCTTTCAGTTTTTTTTCAGAAAGCCAGTGCTTTTATCCACAGTGGAGAGAGAGCATGTGCACATGGTTGCCAGGCAGTGTTAATTTCGTTGACAAATAATTTTCATCATAATTCACCGACGATAACGAGCTAAAACTCTTTTTGAATGACAAAAACTATGACGTAAATCTATTGGAATTTTCGTCAACGAATAAAAACGAGACGAAAATGTTAGGGAGGGACGATTTGGTAAGAGATTCATTCAGAACGAATCTGCTGCGTGGTTCGGAGGTTAGATGTGTACATATGAACCGGCGGGACATAAGCTAACATACACTTGCTGCAATATGTGGGAGTAAGAGAAGAGCAGACATATGGATAAATCTGATGACGCAAGAGAGAACTCAATTCGGTCCGGTTTTCTGAGCGCACACACTGAAGCATACACACACAGAAAGCGCGTCTCACAGCGCGCGAGTACTCTTTCGCATCGCATGAACGGAGAATTACACACAAAATGATGTCGAATTGTCCATTTTGACGAGTATTCACATAAACAGTTGATTACGTCTTAAGTGAACGTAAACAGTAGGGAGAACGTGTATCAGTCCATTGCATCCATTGCAGCTGTGCATTCGATTTTAAAGGGACAGCAGCCTAATTTAGTTGCTATTGTCCGAGTCATTGATGTTAATCAAGCAACAACAGAAAGACAGAAAATCACTCACTGCTCTTGACTGAATCACTTTAGTAGCCCTAAAGATGAATCTAAATTTATTTATAGAAATAAATATGTCTGCTTGAAAGAATGAAGAATATGGTAAACAAGTTGCTATAAAGAATGCATAATTAGCCTATATAACCATTGGTATTTCATTAAAAAAAGACCATGTTCTTGTTCTTTATGAGAAGGGGTTTTATTCAATTTTAACATAAAGGCATGTTGTATGTCACCGCAGTTAAATCAGTGTCTATCTTGATGAAACCTTAATATCAAACTAGTTTGGAAATTTTAGAGAAATGCTTAAATGCACTGTAACTAAACCCATTAGATTTTAGCCGACTAAATTTACTGTAGATTTAGTCGACTAAAATCTTATGACATTTAGTCAACTAAAACTAAAAACAATTCAGATTACTAAAATATGACTAAAACTAAATGGCATTTTAGTCAAACGACTATGACTAAAACTAAATCAAAATATGCTGTCGAAATTAACACTGTTGCCAGGTTGACAAAAATAAATAACACACTTAGCAGATATTTCCGTATTGAGCAAGTGTGAAGCTCTGTTTCGGGGATTACTCCTCTTTATATCAGGCAACCCTGGTTGTGTTCGTCTGCGGCCAGATTAAACCTTGTTATAGCCTATATATTATACTCTATTCATTCTTTTTTAGAAATCTTGCACTTTTCTGTTTTAAACGCTGTTCTTGTATTCAAATTAAGCACGGTCCACTGATGCTGGTATCGAAACAGCTGTTTCTCAATCATCAAGTAATATGTGACGAATAGGAGATGAGAATTTATTTATTTTTAAATAATAATGATTATAACTACTTGTTGTGTTTGTTTTGACAGATGACAGAGCAGAGGAAGCAGAAACAGAGGATCGGTCTATTGGGACACCCCCAACACATGAACGTGAACCCCCAGCAGCCCGCCTGAACCCCTGTTCCACTGGCCAAGTGTCCTACAGCTGTCTCCTGCAGACATCAATCGCATCAGCCTTTCTGTGTGCGTGTGTATGAACGTGTGTGTGTGTGTGTCAAGATATCACAGACACATCATCACCACAACCTGCTGTGTACACCCAAAATAAATGGCTGTAGGCCACCAGGGAAGTTTAAAAGACTTTCGCCCCCTTCACATCCATTTGTGTGCCAAATGTTTCTGCGTGTTAAAGAGGAAGTGCATTTGCATCAATCACCTTTCACACGGTGAAAATGAGCTACACTAGAAACTGCACGACTTACAAACATGTGCTGCAGCCTGTAGATGCTGCTTGGACACACATCCTTCTGTATTGACCCATAGCAGTCAATATTTGATGTCTTATTTTTGTATTTTGTGCAATATTAATATTTTAATATGCAACTACATCTGTATATTATGTCTTAAAGGGACGGTGCAGTAATTTATTTTTCTTTGGTTCTTTTGCTTTATGATTGTAATGAAGTACATTAGAGACCAGGTACTTGTAGGAATACTGTTTGCAAAGTCAAGTTTGACGACAGATACGATATACGTATATGGGGAAAAACAGCCTTTTTCGTATTTAAGTTAATTTATTTATATCAACATGCTTAAAGGAGATGCTTATGCGAATGCTGCCAATTTAGAGTTCTTTAATTCTCATGAATAAAATCAGGTTCTGTTTGGTATTTAGGAGCTCTTTATGAAGCTTTTTGTTTGTGCTGTCAGATTTATGGCCTTAGAAGTCATATACAAAGTAATAATAGATGAACTGTTCAGGCAGTTAAGATTTTTTTTCCCTTAAAATAATGCACTAAAATAATTGAACTCGTATCATCCTGTCATTATAGAGCCATGTTATTTGTGCCGTTGTATATTCCTGCAACTCAGAAGGTGAAGCGCAGGCAGACAAAAGCAATCTTTGTCAAGTTTTCTTCTGTAATCAGTCACATTTTTCTAGACAATTTTCATCTTTTAGCTGAGCAAGGCAGGTCACTTTCTTAATACTATCCTATTGTATTTTTCTTGTTATACATGTATGTATGTTGGCAGGTCTTTGCTTTTATATAGAGAGATATTGTTTCATAGCATCTGAATAATTAACAGCACTGTTTTCTGAAAAATAAGCCTACAGTACTACTGATTTAATAGGTTTATATATATATATATATATATATATATATATATATATATATATATATATATATATATATATATATAATTCTATGAGACTGTAAAATAATTTAGTGATATTTAATAAAATATGCATTTCTTGTTCGAAGGACCAGAACTGAAATATAGTTTTTGAATTATTATTATTCATTTATTTTTATTTTTTTTGTGGTTTAAAAAAATGGATGTATTTTGTCTTTTGACAGTAAAAAGGGGACATTAATGTTAAATATCAATAATTCTGCTCTTTGTTTTACATTGTTATTTTATTTCGTTTATTATTAATACTAGCTGTCATCCAGAATAGTAAGTGCCTACACACAATGTGTACATTTCATTGGTACAAAAAAAAATGATTGCCTATATGTGTAGATTGATGACTGTATAATTGTACAGCTTTCCTATGTCATGACCTTGTATTCACCCTGGTCAACGCAAAGGAAGTTAAGCTTGTTAAGAATTCAAGCGGATAGGAGCCGGCAGCCCATGCTTCTCTAAGGCAATGCACTTTCTGTGACCTTTCATGTCGATCTGCAAAAGAGGTAAAAAGCTGTTTTCCACACACTGCTGACACTCGTATTAATGTGCTTGTGAGTCGTAGACAGAGCAGCTTTGTATGTAGTACCAAGTCAGATTGGAGAGTCCCAAATCGATTTCAAGGTAAAACACTGAGGTATAACTTTGCTGTTGTCTGTAAAAACTGCAGAAGTGTGACTTAAGTGTCAGACGGGTACCTTAAATGTTGAATTATTGACACTTGACAGCGTCGTCAGAAGTATCGCTCTAAAATCCCCCTTTGTGAAGTGCAACATCAGACTGAAACCTTCCACGACTTAAATGACATTTGTGAAATAAAATGAACCGATGCAAAGGCAGAAGAAGGAAAATATGAGTGGGAACCATCAGTTTAGTAAGAAATAGGACATTTTTGAAGCTTTAATATGTCCAGTGTGGGTCTGTGAGTGCCACTTTCCTTCTGTGCTTTTAGTAAGCTTATTATTAAGTTAATATGCGAGCTATTTTAACTGTGAGCCTCAGGACATTGTGCACGCTTCTCATTTAACCAGCAAGGTATGAGCACGATGATCTATTAGTTATTTTTGTACTTCAATATGTCTGTAATATTTTGTTCAAATGTCCTAACCAGTGCTAGTTATAAAGAACAATTAAATGGACAATTAGGTAGAAAAAATGAGGTCACACTGTACTTTACACTAACTCTTGTATTATGTTAACATTCTAGGTATGATCATTGCTCTGTCAAACTGACCCTAATTAGATACAGTACAACTCACTAAAAATCCCATTTTGAGGAGGGGGTATTAAAGGTTCTCGTATGTGAGAACCTTTTCATACAACTCACATATGTGACCCTGGAGCACAAAAGCAGTCTTAAGTCGCTGGGGTATATTTGCAGCAATAGCCAGAAATACATTGTATGGGTCAAAACTATTGATTATTCTTTTATGCCAAAAATCATTAGGATATTATGTAAAGATCATGTTCCATGAAGATATTTTGTAAATTTCGTACTGTACATATTTTAAAACTTAATATTTGATTAGTAATATGCATTGCTAAGAACTTCATTTGGACAACCTTAAAGGCTATTTTCTCAATATTTTGATTTTTTTTACACCCTCAGATTCCAGATTTTCAGATCCAGTTGTATCTGGGCCAAATATCGTCCTAACAAACCATACATCAATGGAAAGCTTATTTGTTCAGCTTTCAGATGATGTATAAATCTCATTTTCGAAAAATTGACCCTTATGACTGGTTTTGTGGTCCAGGGTCCCATTTGTGAAAAAAATTCAAGTATGAATGTAGGATTTTTTTTTTCTCACAAATTGCAAATATTAAAGTATTTTGAAAATATTTGTATGTATTTCCCAGCAAGATTCGATTCCCAGCTAAATTCACGTGCATGCTATGAACTGAGAAAAATGTACACCTTCAAAGTAGCACACATTTCTTCGAATAAAAGTATCTGCCAAATGCATAAATGGTAAATGTAAAAACCTTCTGAGGGTCGAGAAACTGACATAAAATACATGTTTATATATATATATATATATGTGTGTGTGTGTGTGTGTGTGTGTGTGTGTGTGTGTGTTGTCTTTAACTATGAAACACACAGGACAAATTGAATTAACTGAAATAAGAATTAATGAAAAAGTGCAATTACATTCACACTAATGAACAATTTGTACTTTATATATGCTACTTGTAAATACAGTTTTAATATTGTTACTTTTTTAAACACTTGTATTTATATAATGGACACTAATGTAAAGTGTTCCCGAAATGCATTATCCCCTGATGACGTCTTTCTTAAAGCAATAACAACACTCCTAGATTTGCTATAGGTTAACATATGTGCGGTCAAATAAGGGGACTTTCCTTAATCGAAGAAAACAGCCCAAAAAAGACACGTAACACAGCATGAAACTGACTTGGCATTGAGACAGCAGGCTGTTTAAAACTAAACCACCCTAACAAACAGTTCAGTTATCACATGATCTATTCAAATTCTTGTTCCACTTGTTGTATAATAAAAGTGACCAATATAAGGACCCACTGTGAAATTAAGCACTTAAAACACATTGCATTTGCAGTTTATTGCATTATGCTCCAAGTCTCCCGCACAAGCTTTTTAGGGTCGTGATGGGCTGTTCTAGTATGCTTTTCTTCTTGGACTGTACGAGTGTCAGTGCATGCTCGAGAGAGTCAGTTCCAAGTAGCTATTAACTAACTGCGTATTAAGCACAGGTTGTTCATTTATATTACTCAGTATTTATGATATTAAGCATTAAAGTGTGACCACAATATTTTAAAGGACACATCACAAATCTGTTTTTGTCATTCCATTTCATCTGCAACCAAAATAGGCAATGCATGTAAGTTGTGTGTGTGTGTGTGTGTGTGTGTGTGTGTGTGTGTTGTCTTTAACTATGAAACACACAGGACAAATTGAATTAACTGAAATAAGAATTAATGAAAAAGTGCAATTACATTCACACTAATGAACAATTTGTACTTTATATATGCTACTTGTAAATACAGTTTTAATATTGTTACTTTTTTAAACACTTGTATTTATATAATGGACACTAATGTAAAGTGTTCCCGAAATGCATTATCCCCTGATGACGTCTTTCTTAAAGCAATAACAACACTCCTAGATTTGCTATAGGTTAACATATGTGCGGTCAAATAAGGGGACTTTCCTTAATCGAAGAAAACAGCCCAAAAAAGACACGTAACACAGCATGAAACTGACTTGGCATTGAGACAGCAGGCTGTTTAAAACTAAACCACCCTAACAAACAGTTCAGTTATCACATGATCTATTCAAATTCTTGTTCCACTTCCACTGTATAATAAAAGTGACCAATATAAGGACCCACTGTGAAATTAAGCACTTAAAACACATTGCATTTGCAGTTTATTGCATTATGCTCCAAGTCTCCCGCACAAGCTTTTTAGGGTCGTGATGGGCTGTTCTAGTATGCTTTTCTTCTTGGACTGTACGAGTGTCAGTGCATGCTCGAGAGAGTCAGTTCCAAGTAGCTATTAACTAACTGCGTATTAAGCACAGGTTGTTCATTTATATTACTCAGTATTTATGATATTAAGCATTAAAGTGTGACCACAATATTTTAAAGGACACATCACAAATCTGTTTTTGTCATTCCATTTCATCTGCAACCAAAATAGGCAATGCATGTAAGTGACTGAAGGAAGTGTCTCTGTGCTGAAGGATGATGTGTCACCCTGTTGCTGCACTTCGAGAGATAAAAAAATAATAATGACCAAACTCCCACTACTTTCCATCAATTCGATTGGGCTTTGAATTATTAAATGTATTTTGTGAGCAGACTTCCAAACCTCAGTGCGACTTCTAGCAGTTCTTCATGCACAGACGGTCACATTTTCCTTGCATGTTTTATTTATTCGAATGAATGACTCCTACATCAAGCATTCAACTCAATCAACAAATTGTTTTATTTATTATTAAATGAGTTTAATGTTGTGGGAGAAAACAACATAAACCAAACTCGTTTATTTACTCATCTGGCATCGTATGCATCACATTGTTTTTCAGGTTGATAAATAATTTGAGCAGCATGTACAGTAACATGGATCTAGCAAAGTACATTCTACCTAATTATTTACAGGTGGACTTCAACACGCAGCAGCATTTCAAAGACTGTATTTGATGCATGCGCGTTATTTACAGTTAAACAGCGCGCAAGAGCAGCGCCTCCGCAACCTTTCTCATCAGAGCGCGCGCGCCTGGCTGATTCTGAATAGAGCTCGAGCTGCTCGGTGCTAAAATAGACGGGTGACGTCAGTCCCGGGGATTCATTCGGTCCTCCGCCTCCGCCCTCTCCCTGCGCCGCCATGAGGAGTTCAACGTGACCGCCGCCGAGTACAACCGGCCACAACAAACCGAGGCGCAGCACGAGAGCCATGAGCGGCTGCACGTGGAACGCCAAATGCTCCCGGTGTGAAATAACGGCGAGATAGTTCCCGCGCGCATCTGTTACTATATTGTGTAACCATGACAACAGTGCCGAGCTAGTTCATGTGCCAGCATCATGTCAGGGGGATTTTGTTAATGAATACTTGCATTATATTGACGGAGCAACAGGTGCTCTGGACATTATTCATCTGCCGTCCGTTTCTTTCTAGAAGCTTCTACCGCACGCTTGAATTCAGGCCCGTGCGTGTGTGTGTGTGTGTGTGTGTGAAACAATAAGTGCTTGTTTGTAAAGCAATATAATCCTTTATGCAAACACAGCTCGCACTGGAGAGGAAATATTTGCTGAAT